CTTGCCCTTTAGTAACATTTAATATGTTGTGTGGGTGAGGAGTTTTATTAAAAACCAGTGGATTTGGCAGCGTTCTGCTGCGCTGGGGGAAGCTTTTCTGTCTCCTGCCCCACCAAAGGAAGGTTAAAGCACCAGAGCCGCGGGGTTGTGGCTCAGGGCGAGCAGGCTTGGTGAGCCCAGCTAACCGGAGCCTGGCACAGTCACCATGCTGCTGCTGCCCTCCCTTCCAGGCGTGAAGCAATGGGTGCTCAAGCTGCCCATTCATTCTGTGCCATGGGGCTGCTGGAGTCATGCGCTTGTGGTGGCTTCTCCGAGCAAAAGTGGCCCTTTCCCCTGGAACGTGCTCACAGAGGCATCCCCCATCCCTTGCAGCTCCTTCATTTCTGTCTCGGAGGATGTGCTCAGGGTTTTAGCTGCTTCCAGTCGGTATTCCATCAGAAATACAAGTGCTGGTACCTGTGAGAGGCACTTCCCTGTCCAAGTGCCCTTGAAAAGAGGTCCCTTTCTGCTACTTGAGGGTAAAGATGATCTTGAAAGGCTGCTGGGTATTTTCACGTGCCCTTGTATCTGGAGGTTGGGTGTGAGCTCTGTGCTGAGCTTGGCTGAGCTCTCCCACGCTGCCCAGTGGGATGAGGCTGAGAGCAAATGCTTGGGTCCAGCCCTTAGTGGGAACAGGCTCTTTTCCCATTTTCCAGAGCCACCATTTCTTTGTTGAACAGCCACCTGGAGGACCCGGAGCCAGAGCAATCTGGGAAACCCATTTGCTTCTGTGAGGAGCCACAGGTGACAGCCCCGGAGCAGAGGTGGTGGCACTTGTGACCCATTTGTCTCTGCAATAAAGATCTGAGATTTCTGACCTCCAAGATGTTTTCAGATTCATAAATTACGGGTGCTGCTGAGGCTGTGGGTCAGGCGGGGTGACCCCAGAGCACTTTGCAGGACCTTTTGCCTGTATTTTTCTCATTGGAAGTGTTTTGCAGCCTCAGTTCCCCCCCCCCGCCTTCAACTTTCTAGCTTGTGTGTATGACCAGCCCTTGCCTAGTCCCTTGGGCCAGCTACTTCAGTAGCATCTGGCGCCGCTGATGTCCTGTTGGAGATGAGGTGATGGATCCTGGACCCCCTGAAGCGGATGGGCAGAAAGGGACAGCACTGGCAAGCTGGAGCAGAAAATGGGTCTGGACTGGGGTTGGCAGCTCCCCTGAGCTCAGGCTTTGGTTGTCCCCTGTCCCCAGGCCTGTCCACCTGCTTTGTGCAGGGTTCCACTGAGTTCAGCCTGTCCTTGCTCTGTCCCACAGTCTACTCTGGCGGGCAGAGGAAGAAATGGGAGCCCGGGGTGATGCTGGGACATACCTGGTCCAGCGTTCCCAGAGAGCCCAAGTGGGATCCTTCCCAACCACCAACTGGGAGTCTGCAGTGACCCGGCTGTCCCCAAGCTCATGTGGCCACTGATGGGAAGCAATGGAGGATGCTGGTGAGACACACGGATGGGGCTGATGGTCAGAAATAGCAGTGCACCACCCTGGGTCCTGCCAGCGTTGGCAGAGCTGGGAAGGGGAAGGGGACACTGACTCTTCCCTGCACAAGTCCCTGTCCCTTGCACTGGTGCAGTGGAAGGAAACAGAGACCCTTTTACAGTTTACAAGAGTTTATTCGACTGGTTTCTGACTTTAGTTCTACCAAGTGGGTGCTGAACAGTTACAAGCTCCTTCGGGTTCAATTACAGCCGATCTAATAAAACAAACAACCAAAAAGGGAAAACAAAAATAAAAGGAAAAAAAAAAAAAAACCCAACGAAACAACTTGGAAAAACAATAAGAAAATCCACAACTTTTTCACGTGTCATTAAATATATTCATATATAATAACCATAATATATTAGTATGCATTGTAAAGAAACATCGCCCAAAGCGGTGTGCAATGGTCAGAACTAAACAACATTTACAGTTCAAGATATTAACAGAAATAACAAAAAAACAAACCAAAACAACAAACCAGGAACAGGGGCTCTGAGAGGGGAGAGGAGGCGGTGGCGGGGAGAGGGCACGGGCATGAAATGAACACAAAGGAGACGAACCCAGGTCTGTTGGGTGCTGCCGCCGAGGGGTGCTTGTTTTGGTGTTTCAGCTGCTCTCCATAGCCGTGCTGAGGCACCACAGCCCCTCCTCGGCCACCCCTCCACCTCCGGAGGCCCTCGGTCCCGTCCCAGGGCAATGGGTGGGTGCTGAGTTCTGTGCTGGTTGTACCCGACAGAGCTGCACCCCTGGGCACAGAGCTGGGTGTTCAGGGGTGACTTCTGGTCCCTCTTTGGGAGACTGGACAGAGGTGTCTCTGTGGGAGCAGGGGTGGCTGCAGGGAAGAACTGCATCCCTGGGCACCCTGAAACAGGGGCTGTTCTGTCTCCCCCAGACAGGATGGACTATGAACCAGTAGCACCAGCAGCTCTGCAGATCAAGGTTACTGGGAGCATATGAGGGGCACTGGGGGACCGTGGACAGAGTGAAGGAGCTTTTCTATTCTGGCTGAAAAGCACAAAACTCCAGCAGGGATCAAGGGATGGAGTCCTGCAGGGACAGGGATGGGGACCTCGCTTCTGTGGGTGGCTCTGGCTGTGGTGGGCTCCGACTTGTTTTGCATCTTGTGCAAATTCCATTTCCTTCTGATTTCCCAGGTTGTGTCAGTGCTTGGAGGGGTCCTGTCATGGGGAGGTAATGGTTCTTCTGCAGCCTCCCAAACCAGTGGGACTGGGGAAGGGGCTGAGGCTTGTCCCCGGGTGGGTTTGGTTGGTGTCAAGGCTGTGCTGGGGAGGATGGCTGTGCTCGCCAAGGTTGGAAGATCGGAGTAAGCGTTGGATGTCCAGGCATGCTCGACGGGCATTTCCCAAGTCCCCTGTCCCATGGCTTTGCCTTCCTTCTCTCCAGATGGCTTGGATCTGGTTGCTTTTAGGCCATTTGAAGATCCCCATGGTCCAAAGGCAGCCCAGCTGACCAAGGACAAGCTCTCTAGCTGGTTTGGGGTGTCCCTGGCATCAGTTGATGCTCGCCACAGCAGAGCATCCAAATCCCACTTTTGGGGCTTAAAGCATCCATTTGGACATTTTAGGTCAGATTTCGTCTTTCAAAACCTGGTGGCTTGGGTTCCGTTGACAGAAAAACTGTTGGTTCTCCTCGAGCTCTGCAGGAAGGAAAACTGAGTGTGCTCTGGGTAAGGGGAGAGAACATGGACCTGTGGGGGGGGTCACTTGATGCTCAGGGTGGGATTCCTCTGCTAATACCCAAACTGATTCCAGAGGGGCCCTGTGGCTGCAGGGGAAGTCTCAGCTCCCTCCAGGTGGTGTCTCCAGCAACCCAGCATTGGCCGGTGCTTCCCCAGGAGCCCTCCACTTTACACCTATTTACACGGCTGCCTCACTTTATGGTGGTTTATGTCATTATATAAATATTGTCAATTGCTATAAAACAAGGCAAAACCACTGGAAAATGTCGTAAAATAGATGTTTCCAAGTTTCCTAAAAGGAGAAATATCAGGGAGGTTTTGCCTTTCGTAGCAACTGGTGTTTGCTTCTCCTCCAGGTACCCATCTTGCCCTCCCTGCCTTTCTGCCCTGGCCGTTGCCTGTCTCCATCGAGTAGGTGAACTCAGGCACCCCATTCCTCATGGGTTGGTGTGGCAGGGGAGCAGCCTGGCACAGGGACACAGCATCTGGGTCACAGACAACAGCCAGTCCTGCCTGTAGAGTGCCCTGGGCAAAGAGGCTCCAGCACTCGGCCGGCGCATGGGGTGTGAGGTGGAGGTGGGCTGTCCCCTGCCTTAGTGCATCAGTGATGAGAGATGGAGACATTTACATCTGCTGCTTTTCACTCCCAGCAGAAAGAGCCAATGGGTAGCTTCAGGTGGGTCACACCCAGTGTCTGACTGAGACCCCTTGCCGTGGGGCCAAGCCATAGAGCTCTGTGCTCTATAGTGACACAGAGTCCCTTGGCACTCGTTGTCCCACTTCCTTAGTCTCCCCAGGGGGCTGGCCATGTTATGCAGGGATGCTGAGCAGCTGCAGCTCCAGAGGACGTGAGGGCAGAGCTGGTGGGTTCAGGAGAGGTGGCTGAGTTTGCGAGTGGAACCAGTGACCTCGGTGTCATCTGCACGGATTTTCTGTCATGGGAGGGTTCATCGGTCTGGTGACAGCAGCAAGAGAGGACCAAGCCTGTGAAGGAAGTCTCAGGGGTGGACAAGGACTTGAGCCATGGAGGAGGACTCAGGGGATGCAATGGGCAAGGTCTTCCAGAGCACCTATGGGAACAGGAAGCCAGTGTGTTCTGCAAAGTCTGGTTGTTCCCATGGGGATCCTGGTTATTGACTCCTCGACTGTGGACTGGGAGGGTGCCAGGGCATCCTGTGGGCTCACAATCCTTTGGCACGGTGGGGACAGCGCTCCTCAGGGTGTGGGGCTGCAGCAAGGAGTTGCTCCCCAAGTTATGCCCATGTGGAAGCTGCCCACTAATGTGGTCTCCTCGCTGTGCCTAACCTGGGGTTGGAGCATTGCCACAGCTGGAGACCTCGGCCGCTCCGAGGTTCTGCACAGCAAGCGATTGTTACAGCTATTGGATACCAAAGGGTGTTCAAATAACCCATCAGCTGATCCTCAGGTCTGGCCTCAGCGACAAGTCTCTGTTGAGTTTCCTCTACAACTGTCTTGTTCAGCCTCAGCTGGGAATACGTTTCTGGGGGGATGGGGAGTTAATTTCCAGTGTTGCTGTTGATTAGTTTCTTCCAGGTTTGATGTTCCCATGCTGAGCTCTGGAAGCAGCAGATGTTAGCAGCTGGAAGGCAGTTTGGTGTCTCAGGGCAGGCTGAGGCTGGGGGCACTGGGTGCTGCACACCCGCAGCCACAGCCTCTTGTGTATCCATGGGTGAGATTCATTGTTGTTGTGGGTTTTGGTTTGATTTCTCCTGGAATATGAGGTGCAAACCTGGCAGCCCCCAGCCCTCTGCTCCCTCCCATCCCGACAGTGCAACCATCCTCCCGCCGCCCCATTGCCAGCCCCTGCCCACCCCAGCTCTACACAAAGCAGCATGCACAGTCAGTCTCTCCGTCTCACGCACTCCCGTCGCCTTCTCCTCCTTTAGGCTTTCTTACACTTCCCCTTCTTCTCCCGCTGCTGGAACTTCCTGAGCCTCCGAGCCCACGTATCCCGCCACTGTATCACCAGGCTGGTTTTGTCCGCAATGATGCCGCTCTGGTCAGGAGAGTCCTCGTTGTTGCCCAGCAGCAAATACTTCTTCATGGGCTTGATTTTGGGGCACTTGCACGCTATGTCCTTGGAGTGGATCCACAGGGTCTGGTCTCCTCGCCGTATCCGGTTGCTGCCTTGTTTGTAGACGGAGATGATGTTGACCGTGAACTTCCACCAGTCGGCATTTTTTTCCGCTTTCAGGATGTGGATCTGGACAGCTGGAAAAAAGAAAACACAACACGAGGCGAGAGGAAAAGATGTTCTAATTTGAGCTGGCAAGGAGAAAATGAACTGCAGGTCTAATAGGCTGTGTGAGGGAAAGGGATATCTCCTGCGCCCAGGCTGGGGACAGCAACCTAGGGAGGTGCTCTCCAGCATTGCTGCTATAAGGACTCTGGGTCCCCAGTGAACATGGGCATGGTTACCCAAGGACCACAAGAGCTGTAGGACCCCAGGAGGGAAGATCAGGCTGGGAGCAGCTCTATGCCAGGAACCATGGCTCTCTTTGTGCCAGGAGCGCTGGGAATGACACAGGGATACCCAGAGAGCTAGTGGGGAGCAGGTTGCCTCATTCTCCTATCTGAGTCCTGAGGAAGACCATCATCTCCCAGAGTATGGCTGTAAAGCAAGCACAGATGGAGCAGTTCCCCAGGGCTGCTGGTGCATCAACATCTGCCCCAGCACCTGTGAACTCTTAAAGCAATAGGAAAAGTCTTTCACCATCAGTGGGTTTCTGTACACTGGATCCTGCCTCTTCCCTTGCAGCAGCAAGCAGAGAAGATTAACAAACCCAGGGACAGCTTGTTCCTCCAGCCCATGGTAGTGTCACGGGGCTGAAGCTCTGTGCACAAAGCATGTGGGTAGGGCAGGGAGGCTCCTGTGCCCATCTGCAGTGCCAAAATCCCAGGCTCTGCCGTAGGGCCTGGGATGAGCTTTTTTCCAGACCCACGTGTCCAGAGAGCAGCTCATGCTGCCCAGGATGGGTTTCTGCATGGGCCAAGCCTCCAGCCCCTCTGCTCACTGCTCCTCACCGAATGGTGCGTCTGCACCAGGACCCTAAGACAGCCCCTGGTTTTAAGAGAAGATAAGCCCAGATCTGAAGCAAAACACTGGGACTGGCCCATGGCTACAAGCACTTGGCATGCAGATGTAGGAAAGACCTGTTAGGGCCTCCAGCACCACTTCCTGGTGCCATGGCAAGGAGAGAGCTCCTGTGAATACGCAGCCTTGGAGTGGACACCCAATGGGTTCAGACCTATGAGGGGCTTTGGAAACAGGGAGGTTCACTGTTCACGTGTTTCTAGGAGATGTTCTTGAGTCAAGATTGTCAGTTGCTTGCTGTGGAAGAAGACGTCGCAGGTAAGAAGCACAGATAAAGGACCATGTGGGAAAGAGTCCTACAGCATGGTGAGGAGGAAGAGATATAAGCCTGGAAGCAGATCCTGCCATGCTGTTGGGCTTCTTCCCACTGGTGGTCCATCATGGTGCAGGGGCTGAAGAGGAGGATGGGAGCAGCCATCGGCTGAGATCGCATCCTCCAGGGAAGGTGAACACCTTCCTCCTTGCTAATCGGCTCCCAGGAAAACATCTTCAGCAGGAAGTGCCCCCAGCTCTCCTGGGTTTGTTTTGGGATGAGGGTCCCCACCAGCAGGGACAGAGGTGGTGGTGGGGGAGCAGGGAAGGGCTGGCTGCTCTGTGCACTCTGGTGCCTTCTGGCCAAACGTTCGAGCTTTCCCCTTTTCTCCCCCTTCCCTCCATGCCCCGTAACCTGTGCACCTCCTGCCCCAGCCCTTGGGGCAGCCCCCAGCGGGTCCAGCCTTGCTTCTAGAAATCAACAGAAGAGGAAGAAACCTCCAAACTCTCCCGTTTGCCTTGTAACAACCCAGTGTTAGCCCTGCGTTAGCAGTGCAGGAGCATCACTCTCTCTTTAAAACCACAGTGTGCAAACTGACTTCAGGCTCTGGCAGGAAGCGGGGCTCTGCGGCCCAGCAGAGCTTTTTAACACATTGCAAAATAGATGTTGGGTTTTCTGTGGGGTTTTTTCAGAGCGTGTCATGGGCGCCAGATGCTTTCATTGCAAACACCAGCCCCGCGCTCTGAGCGGGCGCTTCCCGCCCTGTGCGAAGGTAACAAAATGTGAGGATTTGCCAAGTTTTATTTTTTGGAAACAAATCTTTCCAAAAAAGCTTAAACCTTTGACCCGCGGGGTCCTGACAGCATGGAGAGAGTGAACGAAGGGGCCGGGGGGGGCGGGCACAGGAAACGCTGCTCCCAAACGCAGCCTGGAGGTTTTGATGTCAGGGCCCCCCTCTCTTATTTTCTTTTCCCCTTTATTAATGAAGTGGAAGGAGTGAAGCCGCGGTGGAGCTGGGCTGGCACAGCCGCAGCTGCCTTCACTCGCAGCCCGTTGCTGCCCACAGCGTGCACCCGGGACATGCGGCTTCCCCCGAGCCTGGCTTCCGAGCCCAGGTTTAGCCTGGGGAGTTTGGTGCTGATGTGGGGAGGTGCCAGGGGGAGGGCTCAGAAAGCGGAGCTCTGGGTGAACCCCACGGGTTTGGGCACTTGTTTTGTGTGAGAGGTTTCAGTTCTGTCATGGGTTTGGGGGTCAGGGGGAGTCAGCTCTGCCCCCACTGCTCCAAAGCTGGCTCTGCTGAGTGGTGCCTCCTAGGGCAAAGCTTGGCTTTGCCTGTCCCACGGTGAACTGCTCTCACGTGGCCGATGCACCCACTAAACCCCTGTACTGAGGCTCAGGACTGACCCTGCCACTGGATCCCTGGAAGAACATCCCTGAATGTGTCTATGGGCAACCAGATGAAAGGATCTAACAGGGGATGGTGGTTGTTCAAGTGGGTGGCAGAGGTGGTGCTCCCCTGGCTGTGGCCACCCCCAGACTGGATGGTGACCCAGAGGGGGGGGAACAAAAGAAAACAGAAGCTGCAGCCCTGCTCTGCTCCCCACCACCCCTAAAGGAGCCCTCAGTCAACTAGTCATGGGGAAGTGGGACAAAGGGGCTCAAGGGGCGAGGGGAAGGTGCTTGGTCCTGGTAAGTGCATGGGGCTTGCCCCATTAAACCCATCCCACCTGACACCAAAGCTGCTGAACACAAATCCTGCCTGGATGTTGCCTCACAAGTCACACCAGCCCAGGTGATGCAAGGAAAAGCTGGACAAGTGGTCCCCAGGCTGCAAGGAGGGGATGCAGCTGGGGCCCACCCTGCTCCGCAGCTCCTTGAGGCTTGGCCGGGAGCCTCCAGCCACAAGAAAGCCCTGGAGGGTTGATGCTGCAGATGAAAGCAGAGGGGTGGATGATTTGATGTTAATAAAAACAAAAATCAGCCCTTTGAAACGACATGTTTGAGGGCAGCAGTGTGAAGGCTTAAATAAAAGCAGCGCCTTGGAGCATTCAGAGACCATGAGTCAGGGACCCAAAAAACCATGAGATTGCCATTAAAAGAGTGAGGCTGGGAAAAAAAAAGTGTATTTCTTTTTAATTTACTTTTGGGGTTTGTGATAAATGTCCGCATTTCAAGATTTCCCCTGCCAAAGCTGACCTGGGACTGGACAAACCCACTCATCCTATGTTCTACCCTGCCTATGCGAGCTGGAGCTTTGTGGAGCTTCCAGTGATGGGGAGACATCCCATGGGACCAGTGGGGTGGCAGCAGGAGCTGGGAGAGACAAGAGCATCTTTCCATATGGACAGATGGAAACAGGTGCTGCAGATGCAGGAGTCCCAGCCTGAGCAGGGCTTCTCCAAGGCTCAGGTCCCTTCTCACTGCACAACCAGAACAGAGCCCATGTAGCAAAAGGTGATCCTGGTGCCACTTGGGATTGGGAATAGAAAGGGCAGCTCATCACTGGAGCAAAGAGTTAAAATGGGATTTTCTCCCCCCCTTTTTTATGCTTGTAATTCCTTTCCCGGTGCCTTCGCCTGCCTCCAGTCACCAGTTTCCTCCTGGTTTAATATTGGAGATTTATGGCCCCTAATCCCAGCCGGCCTGGGCACGGTCCCTCCCTGCAGTGCCGGGGGAGGGTGCTCCCTTTGGGATGCAGTTACAGGAAGGATTGCTCAGTGTTTCCCCGCTCTGGGAATGGGATTTCTCCACCTTGCAGGATGCTGGAAGGGGCTGCGAGCCAGGGATGAGCCAGGGACGGTGCTTCCCCACCTTGGGTTTTTCTGTGGATTCAGGGATTTTTCTCCCTCCCTCTCTCTTTTCAAGCTGCCTTTTGAAAACTCGTTTTGCCTTTTTCCAGCAGCCTCTGCCAAGCTCCTCTCAACAAAGGGGGTGACTAAGTGAAGTCTCCACTGAAGGAAGGATTTTTTTACTCTTTTTTCCAAGAAAGGGCAAAGTGAGCAGATGATCTCACCTTTCAGATGAGGACCCTGCTCCTCACCCCCACCCTTCCCTGGTGCTGCACTGGGGGGCATGGGGGCAATGACTGGGATCACAGTGCTGGCACCCACCAAAACGCTCTGGCATCATCTGTGCAGGACCGGGCCCTGCTGCAGTGTGGAGAGCTCAAGATCGAGGGGAAATCGAGGTTGAAGAGTTCCAGGTTTACCTGTACCACTGCCGCCCACCTCACACCACAGACAGCGGGAAAAGCCCCAAGGATCGGACTGACAACGGCAGCATCTGAGCAAGTGAGGGATGCTCCTGCATCACCTGCACCAGCACTTCCTGCTCTGTTAAAATGATCTCTTCTGGGCTATGGGGGAATCTCCATCCTCAGCAGGGACCCCCTGCTGCCGCCCTGGGCTAATTGTAACTGCCCCAAACCCAGCAAACCCCCTCTGTAACCCCTGGGTTTTGTGGGAGATGAGCGACCCCTGTGCTCCACCAGGCAGCCAGAATAAACCAGGAAAAGCTTTTCTGCTTCTGTTCCTGCCCTCCCCGTGCCCTGCTCCACTCCAAATATTTGCACCAAACCCCATCCCGCAGGAAAGAGCCTAATTTAAAATAAAAGGAATAATAAAAAACCCCAGCAACAACACCCCCCCCCCCCAACCAAACCAAACCAGCACAGACCCAACAGAAACAAACAGATAAGAAAAATAAATAAGGGAAAATATCCCCTTTGAATCGCTGAATGAAACGGGGAGCTAAAAAGCCCCATTGAGAAGCGCGGGGCGGATGATAGCTTCGCGATTGAGCGGCGGGAGAAGTAACTCTGTTCAAGCTAATTAGGGTCTTTTAGGACATTCAGTCCAGCGATGCCAGTGTAACGGTGAGGAAAAGAGCCTCCTAATTGGCTTCCTGCTGGGGTGTCAGTCCCAAAGTCTTTATTATCCCTCCCTGCACCTTTTCAACCCTTTCTTCTCTCCCTGGCTCTGTCAAAGCCATGGGCTGCCCCGGCCCGGCGGGCTCTGCTGCAGCATCCCTTCTCCTGCTGCCTTGCCGGGCTGTTTGCCCTTGGAAAAGCAAATCCATGGTGGCTGCGGGGCTGGCTGGGGACCCTCCCGGCTCCAGGAGGGCTCGGGTGGAAGCACCCCAGTTCCCGTGCTGGGACAGTCTGTGCCAGCTCACCCCAAACCAGCCCCGGCAAATGGCTTTGGCTCCCTTGTGCTTTTGCAGAAGGGAGTGATAAAAGAGGAAATGAAAGCTCTTTCCAGTACCAGAATCTGGAGTCATCTCCTGCCCGAGACAGCTCTTGAGCTCTCTCATCTCCCTCGCATCTGCCGAAGCGCCTGAGCCCACAGTACAGCCTCAAACAGAGCCAAGGGTGAGCTCTCACCCGAACCCCCAAGAAACATCTCCCTGGTGAGGTCGGACAAGCCAAGGAGCAAAACCAAACTGGGGCCGAGGCTGCCCCTGGAGCAAAACCCAAGTACTGCTGCCACCAGAACACTGCAAGCCTTTGCCCCAGAGCCCCAGGGGCAGATAACACTGCTCAGCTGTAAGCATGCTTCCAGGGGGATGCATGGCCCTACCAGCCTCTGAGCCCCTGGGACAAATTTGGACCATGACAGGGCCAAGTTTCCTTCTATCAAGTGGCTGCTTTCTCTCCTCTTGAAGGCAAATGCTTCAACATGAGCTTGGCCCTTACAAGCCAGGTGGGAAAGTGAAGGGTTGCAAGGTACAAATGATGAAGGTACAAAAGACCTTAGTAGCCAGCAGAGAATCAACACATGAAAACCCCATGGCTTTAATAGGCTGGTGCTCAGCCCCACTCCCATCTTTAACAACCTCATGTTCTAGCAGCTTTCCCTCCTGCAGTAAAACCCTTTTCCCCAAGGAAAAAGGCATTCTTTGGACCTTCCCAACACCTGATGAACCTCTGGTGGCTCCTGACAGCATGGCCTTGCCGGATGGGGACAAGTCCACCCAAACCCTGGCACCAAGGGATGCTCTCCACGACCCTTTTGCCATCTGAGTAAATGGGAATGCAAATAAAACATTTGCCTTCATCTCCTCTCCCTTCCCCTGAGCCTGCAGGGAGGTGCCAGGGCACAAAGCCAGCGAGGAACATCCCTCGGCCGGGAAGCGCCTTGTCCAGGGATGGGCTGTTAAATGGGAATTTGTTCTGCTCTTGCAAACACTTCCCAGACACGCTGAGCCGCTGCTGGGAGCGCGTTTAGGGGAGGGAGGAGGTGTCTCCGCTCCAGGATGCGTTGATGCAGATGGAATGGGAGGTTTTTTCCTTGGTGTTCAGTGAAAAGATAGATACATAACAAAATACACACATAGAGATGCGTATAAATCCTGCCAGGGTCCGTGTGGACACCTCCTGCATGGACCCACTGGTGGCCACACTGGGAGTGGAGCCACATTAAAAATACTCCCAGGAGCAAAGAAATAGGGGGGGAGGTTGGGATGTGCCTGTTCCAAGGTGCTGCTCCAAGCTGGAGCTGTGGAAGGATGCTTTTGTCCTCGAGTGCCAGCAAGGATGGGGATCCCACAGCCTCCCTAGCATGTCCCAAGACTGCACCACCCTCTGAATTTGCCTGGGAATTATAGGGGGAATGGATCCAGATGATGGGAGCCTCCTGCTGCTTGTCCCCGTGGCAAAGCACAGTTACTAAAAGCTGGTGCATGTAACAGCACAGTGAGAACAGAAAAGACGTGGTGTGATTGTGACCTAGAGGACACCGTGGGATGGGGACCCTATGGACTGTGATTTGGGAGTTGCCTCAGCATTTGCAGGGGGGCTCATACTCCCCAGTAACACACTGCATCACGGCTCCACCGAGCATCACTGCCCAGGGCTGCCTCTCCAAACCCAGCAAAAGCCATATCCCAGATGCAGACACCCCAGCACAGGCAGGGGCCGTGCAGCAGACTGGGGCTCCCTGGTCCCTCTGTGCTTGGGACCCATCTGGCAGTCTGTGCCTGAGCTGGGCTTGGGAGCACCCGGGAAGGAGATGCTCCTGCTCTGCATCCGTTCGGAATGCCTGCTCCCTGGGAAGCAGCAGCCGAGAAAAGCGACTCACCATAGTCTTTCTTGCAGTACTTCTTCATGTTGATCTTCAGTTTCCCCTTGGAGGCTTTGCAGTATGAGTCACAATCTGCACAGGAGAGAGGGGGAGGGCAAGAAAACATTAACAAAACAAATTAGCCTTAACATGAATAAAAGGCTGGGGAGGGGGGGGACAGCTCAAAGCTGCAGCCTGCCATGAATAAGCAGCGTGCCCGTGATATCCATCTGCCAGGCCCCGATTGGGTCGTCTAAGGGGGCATTCAGAAAACCCTTCCTTTCTAAAGAAAGCTGCTCACAAAGGAAACCATCCTCCTGCCCGCCTCCCCCAGCCCCGCTTCCCTGGGCCGCCTCTGTCTTCCTGGGAGACCCTGGGGGCCTCCCTTATTGTGCCACCCAGAGCTTTTGAGAGCCACACAAATTCCCCCTGTTCTTCAGCTCCCAACTGGAGACTGCCCGGAGCCCACAGAGGCCCCATTGTCACCCCTAACCCGGGCCGGTGTCAGCCTTTGGCATTCATTGCCGAGAGATTCGGGCTGGGGTCACCTTCCGACAATGCAGGTCAGAGAGGAAATTAGCAGCCCATGAAGCATTAGCAAAGCCTTTTGGTGTCCACTCTACTGAAGTGTGCAAATAAAATACCCCAGGAGGAATGTTTCATTTCTAATGGGCCCCCACTGCTGGGACACGCTGGCTGTGCCCCGGTGGTGCAGCGGGCAGGCTGGAATGCTGGCATGCTGGCATGGCAGCCTGGCACTGCCAGCGTGGGGCTGGAGCTGGGCCACGGTCCCAAGCGGCTGCAGAGATGCTGAGCCCTGCTCCAGTAACTGCTGCCCGCGGGGACCTGCTCCCATGTGGGATGGAGCCGGACGGCATCACAGGCAGGCAGTGCCACAGTGGCCGGAGGTGTGCCACCACTCCCAGAACCAGGGCTGGCTCATGGACATGCTGTCCGTGCACATCCGTGTCTCTTTAACATCCATGGGTGCTAAGGAGAAGCCCCCAGCATCACACCTGGCTGCAGCAGGAGGCCTTGGTGCAGCAATAGTCCTTGAATACCTCCATCTCACCCAGGTGCCCATTGTTCCTCCACAGCCACCACTGGTGAGCAGGACTGAAAACCTGCTGGAAAGCCCCAGCAGTGCCGAGGGTTCTGTGAGCAGGTTGGGATGCTGCAGAGATGTGGGATGCTGCTGATACCCATGGCCAGCACACACGGGGTGCCCGTATCCTGCCCCAGGCCACATTGGCAGTGCCAGACCAGACCCACCCTGCCTGTGCAACATCCCAGGTTCTCCAGTGGACCATGACCTGAAGCTCTGGGGGAGAAGCTGTGCAGCATCCCCCGTGTGTCCTCCTTTAGCATGGCTTTGGCACACACAAGGGTGGCATCTGCCACAGCCTCAGCAGGGCTGGAGGCCCCATTTCTTATGTGCTTCTTTCGTATGTATAAGAGCCCTTTCAAGAGGCAGTTCCTTCTGAGAGAAGCTGACACTAAGCAGGCTGGGAAGGGAAACTGAGGCAGGGCTGGGAGGTGGCTGCAGAGCTGCAGCAGTTCCTGACAATGGCTCTGTTTGCAGCTCTGCTGCATGCACAGGGGCTGTGGTGCAAAGTCAGCTCCGGGACGAGGCTGGTCTCCAGTGGTGGATGCACAGAGCCTGTCCAGGCAAGGAGGGCACCAATGTCTGGGTGCATTGGATGCCCTGTGCCCTCTTAGCTCACCAGCCTCAGTACAGGAGGTGCCCCTGGGATGGGAGGTGGATTCAGAAACATGGGGAGATAGATGCTCCAGGAGGTCTAATGGACACCAAATCCAACCCTCCCCATTGGCAGCAGAGCCAAACCCAGTCTGAGCAAAGCAGCATCTTCTTTTTCATCTTGAGTGGGGAAATCAACAAGAAAGGGAATCCCAGAGGCTGAACACCCACATCCCAACATTTTCAGATACCACTTTACACCAGCACCTCTGATCCACACATGCCCCAGCGTATGTCAGCCTGCCCAGTGTCACCGCATCTCAACACCATCCTTTTGCTCCCATCCTCAGGAGAGCACCCACAGTAATACATACCTTTACATTCTTTCATATGATCCAGCAAGGGCCAGAAGTGAAAACTGTGCTAGGAAGAGGAGCACCTTCCTCCTCTAAGAGTCCCAGCTAAGATCTCTGCCCAGCTACAACCCAGCCAAAGCCCTTAGAAACCCGGGAGCTGAACTGGTGACTGAGCTGCTGATGCCTCCCTTTTGGTTTTCTCATCAAACACAACCCTAAACACGAAATAAAACTTGAAATGCTCTGAGAAAAGTGGCTATTGCTTAAAATCTATAGTTCAGATGATGGAGATTTGCTAGCAAAGTTCCAGCTATGGCTGTGTGGCACATCGTGGGATGTGACTGCTTGGTGCCACTGAGCCCAGGGAACGGAACTATTCCTGATTCCAACTGGTAAGATGTTCCTCACCATAAACATTGAAGGAGAGGTCTACAAGGGAGACAGATGTGCATGCAGGGGCTTAACAGCCCCCTTTGCTCACTTGCTTGGTGCACAGGCCATCTGGCTGCTCTGCCCGCAGCTGGCACGACTCTGCTCAACCACAGCAGCTGATGCTCCCAGGACACTAATGCGGTTATGATAAACATGACGATGGTTCTCCTCCAGCACAAGAAGCCTGGGGCTCTGGAGGTATTTATCACTGCAGTCACATCTTGGCCCCTGTGCAATAGCTGAGCTGCAGGAAAGGCTGGCACAAGATGGGCAGGCAGGGAGGGACCAGCAGAGCAGGGACAGTGCTTGGGAGCTGTGGCCGGAGATCTCTGCTCCCCTGCCCAACTCTAGGTCAGGTAAAGAGATGTGGGGAGCAGCTGGCTCTGAGCACTGGTGACGAGCATGGGTGGGCAGCAGCCCCAGCGTCTGCAAGGGGGCCTCCACCAGCCCAGCTGCAGAGCCCACCAAGAGCAGATCATCCCCCAGCCCCACAGCACTGCTTGTGGGATCGAGCCCCCCCCAGAATAGCAGTCAGATAGAAAACACCGCGCAGGACTTTAATCCAGAGCACTCACAAGAGCAGCCCTGAGCCTCTTCTGCAACCTCTCCTCACAGAGACATCCTTAACCACATCTGAGATCCCAACCTTCACACTACTGCCATGACATTTCCACTCTGCCTGAGATGACAGACCTAGAAACCTGGCGCTGTTTCCCAGCCAGGGAGGCTGTGGGGTGACCTGGCACCACCATGATGATGGCCCTCCTCTGGTGCCCCTTCCCCACAGCCTCTGCCTGCCCTCAGGGGGCAAGCCTGGAACCAGGTTTGCAGCCCAGGACACCCAGCTACAGCCCAGCCCTGACCCTGGCTCTGTAACACAAGCCTTGCTCTGCCTTCCCTTTCTCCTCTCCCTCCCAAGCCCACAGGCTGTGCCAGAGCCTCAGCTGGTTTAAATTGAACTTGATGTGGCCAGAGCCAGCTGGTGTAGATCAGTGTAAATCACCAGATGCCAGGGCTGATTTACATGGGTGGGGGATTTGCCCTGGTTCATTTCCTTTGTCTCCTACGTGGAGAGCTCTCCTGCCTCCTGGGTGACTTGGAGACCCTCCAGGGCCTCTTTGGGAGGGCAAAGGAAATTTCTAAGGGCAAAGCATTGATTGAGCTCGAGTTTGCTGCTGAGCAGAGCTGCATCTGTGGGGATGGTGCTGCAGAAGCACTGCTGGCTCAGGGAAAGCGTGTGGAGGGGCTCTTATGCAATATTATTTTAATGCTGCCTAGAAAGGACCCTGCTCTTGTCCATCAAGTGATAGCTCAGCAGTCCAGGCTCTGGGGCAAGGGTTGCTGAGCTGAGAGCAGAGCCAAGCCTAAAGGCTGGGGAAGGGATGCGAGGAAGGCTGAAATGGGAGCAGAGGATTGAGTTGGATCCTGGATTCCTCCAAGTGCTGTTTCAGTGACTGTGTACCAGAGATGTGTATGTGATGTGAGACTTGCAGAATGTGTCCTCAAATGCTTCTGCTACAGAACTGTGGAGTCCTAAGGCTCGTGTTGTTTGTCCTGACTGCAGGAGGCTCCTGTCCTTGCCTTGTGCCCAGCTCTGGAAGGCTGCAGAGGATCAGCCTGGAATAACCTGCTCTTGGAAGAACTGCCCGAGTCTGACCAAAGGCCAAGCTGGGAATAAAAGGCAGCTGCCTGAGGAAGTGAAGGCTGCTCTTGGGATGGGGAACAGCCTGGTGCTCCAAGCAAGGGGTGGTAAGTGTCTAGTGTAGTCGAGGTCCTACAGGTGTGACGGGGTGGACACCGCTTGGTTCTACCCTGAAGGACTGGTGATGGGCTCAGCCCCAGCTGCTCTGCTCCATCCTGTGCTACACAGATGTCCCTTGCATGTGTGGGTGCAGAACAAGGATTGGTCCTCACCCTGGAGCTGTCCTGCCCTGCTCCTCTCAGCCTGGCTGGTCCCAGGCAGGGCTTGTCTGCTTTGAACAGACCCTGGAACCTCTCCAGGTCCCTCCTAGCCTGCGTTTGGCCTGGCCATTCCCCTTGTGAAGGGCTTAAGCACCCCTGGCTACAGCACCATGGTGCGGGAGGAATTGAGTGGTGATAACCAAACACCCTCCTCCCCTGCTCCCAGCGCTCTCCTCCCTGCGTTTGTTCAGCTGCACAAATGTTTCGGTGCAAATCCCCACTTCAGAGACACAAAGCCAAAGCCTGACCAGACCCCGATGCTTTCCCGTTTCATCACCACATCCCGAAGTGCCATGGGCCATGGTGGGGACATCTCGCACCTCCCTGCCAGGTCTCTGGGGTTGGGAGCGACCGAACACTTCCAGAGGGAAAGCACAAACTTTGTGCATATCCCAGATCTTTGGAGCAGGAGGATGTGGGAAGAGGCTGTTGGAGCTACTTGTTCACAAGGGCTGGGAGCAGGTGGCAGGCGGCTGTTTCGTGTCCATTGCAGCTTAGTAAAATGTGTCAGCATAGCATTCAGCAGCTTTGCAGCTCAGCCCATCCCCTTGATATAACTAATTCTCTGGCTGAGCAAAGAGTTTTCACAGCTAAACACCTTCTCTGGTTTGCCTCTTTTTTTCTCTTCTCCAAAAGTCACATTT